CTACTACTATTAATATTAGTAGTATAATAATTTTGTAGGTAGTTTGACCAGAGGAGGATGGGTCCCCCCATGTGAGCCTTGGTTCCTCCCAGGGTTTCTTCCTCAGCTCTGAGGGAGTTTTTCCTTGCCACTGTTGCCCCTCGCTTGCTCACCTGGAGGATTTACATTTCATGTTAAAACTTTGTCTTTAATGGATTTCTGTGAAGCTGCTTTGTGACAACATCAGTTGTAAAAAGCGCTATACAAATAAATTTGACTTGACTTGATTATATAAATGTAGCTACCAGGTTCAATGTATGTAAAAAGATGCTATAAACACTATTTCTCACCAACATTTCTCTTTTTGGACTTTTCATCTGTTGTTCCATCTGACAGCTGCAACAGGAGTGTTCCTCTTTCTCTTTGCCATGTTTACATATGTGCGCCAGACAGCACTTTGTCATCCAATTGGTTAAGGTCAAGGAACATGTCATAGGAGATGTCAAACTAATGTACAAGACCCATTTATCATTCCCGACGCTCATATTCAGACCCAACACTGTAAATTTGTTGACTGCGACAAAATCTTGCCCAAATTTTGCTGAATTCATATAATCTGATCCTGGCATTAGGGTGTTTCAAACACCTCACATTTTCACCTCAGGTAAACAGGAAGTCACGGAGGCTTATATGAGAGTTCCTAAAGACCTAAAGACATGCTTGAAAAGTTAAAATATAAATGAGATTAAAAATGGCAATTACATTTTCATAAGACTTTCTGGGGGTCCCAATAGTTGTGGCACATATCTATATTACAGAAAAAGTTGTTTTTGGTTGGATTTTTTCTTTAGTTTTTCTCTTTTAGGTTACACAGTCTGACTGACTGATTACATCATGTAGTCTGTTCTCTAAAAACCCAGAACCATATACCATTCCTTCACAACTATAAGCACATTGTCACACAACTGTGATGTACTCTTTTTGCAGAACCCTACATACAGCTCTCAGCGCACTAGCACAGTTCTCATTGTGTACACTCACAACTCTTTTTCATCAACACTGGGGTCACCAATCAAAGCACATCTCAGCAGTGTAAACACTGTTCACCACCAGTTATCCACTTAGATCTCCTTACTGTTTGAGGCATACAAAGCCACACACTGACGCAGGGAAATCAAACACAGGAACAAGAAAGAGCAAAGTGGGTAAGAGGCAGAGGATGAATTAAAACCAAAAAAAAATTCTAATGAAGTAAATGTTTCCTCTGTGTACATGACATCCAAAATGATTCATTGTCCATCCATGCACACAAATCACATTCTGGTAACACTTTACATTAAGGGTACATGACCTATCAGTAATTAAGGCATTTACTAATGAATAACTAAACAGAGAGTAATGAGTCATTAATCAGGAACAAATGAAAAAATCATATATTAACAACCACAGGACTAAATTACTAATGCATGTACTAAAGAATGAAGATGAAGGTAATAAAGGCTTTCTTCAACATCTGAATTTATCAGGAATTCATGTGTTAATTAAGCATACAAAAAGAATGTTAGTACACATTGGCATACTGCTAGAAGCTCATTTAGTTTCATCCTATTCATGCAATTTATGATCACCTATGTCATACTGCAATGGCGTACTGTTACAACATAAACATAAATTATTGTATGTTTAATAAACTATAAACTAGTTTATTCACTGAAAATAGGCATTTGATTGAATTAAAACTGTGAATTATCTTAATACATGCCACCGTTATTGTGAAAAATATATACCACCTTTAGAAAAATGAAAATGTGTTTCCCATTATAGATCTGTTATTCTTTTTAAAAATTAGCTATATCTAAATGTTTTAGTTATTGAAACACAGCATTTTAAAATGAAACTCTTAAACTGTTTCCTCAGCTGGAAATTACTGCTATTTTTCTTCGCCAATAAGTGGCAGTAGTTGCAACATATGCTATATTTCAAGCGGCCACAGAGTCTTGAGTGTATGTCTCTATGAATCGTTTAAGAGAAGCAAATGAAAATAATTGAAATAAAAAAGTTCAATATTTCTCTTTTCACATTTTCGGAATATTTCAGTTTTTTTAAGTTAAGTTTTGAGTTATGCATACACATACTGGATTATATACACAATTTACATCGCAGACATAATATTTACACGTGGTATTGTTGTCTGAGTGTTGTGAGTGTTTGCTAGTATGTATTTTTGTGCCTCACCTCTTTTTAGACTAACGTGTAAAACATGCAGCTGTTATCTATGGTGAAACAGAATGGATTTACAGATGCTGTTATTTCTAAGTTCGTTGTAAAGTAGCCTAAATATTTGGTTTGGTGCTTATTATTTGAAGTAAACCTTTTTGATTTTAAGAGTAGTAAGGTGTTTGTGTTTCTCACAAGCGTCGTGTGATTCTAGTAGTAATATGTGGTGTCAGGCACGTCTATTCTGTCTGGTTAAAAATCACATTGATTTTATGCTGCTTGGTTCATTTATGCTGCTTGGTTCATCCTCCCCTTTCTTTTGTACGCCGTTCTGAGTTTTTCAGTAAAGCTGAGTCATGGACTCGATCTTCAACTTGTGTAAGTTCTTTGGAAACACCACATGCTGCAATATGAATGTCTTTGTGACGTTAACTAGCAGTTCTGTCCGTTTTGCAGATGTTTGTGGAACAACAGAACCAGTATGTATTGGTTCCTCTTCATTTTCCGTGTACTACACTGATATATTCTCGTGCTCTGGTTCTGTGTATTGTGTAAAACTTATAATGATAATAAAATATACTTTTTTATTCCTATGAATTTCATCTATGTCATGTTTTTATATGAGCCATATTGTATGTATCATTCATCACTGTTCTTGAGAGGGCAAAAAGAATGACTTTTATTTTGGTAAGTAATGATTAACCCCTGCTATTTTGTTAGCTTTTAATCAGTAATAAAGTGGTACTGGTTCATCACTTTACTTTAGGGGGCACAAACATTATGAATTCAACATGAATAATCAGTAATCATTGCTTTCTTTATAATAAATTGAGAATTGACTCTGCATATTGTTGTATTTTCCTTACTCTGACACACCTCAACCAGCACAACAGGAGCTTGTAAATTAGCAGTTGAGTTCAATTAGGTGTACTAGAGGAGGGAAAGCACAAAAATGTGCATAGAATTAAGGATTCTTATGATCCTAGGAGAAAGGCACTACACTTTCCCTATCAATTATTAACTCATTTCTGAGTTCAGCGGTAACTGTAGGATAAACCATTCCCTCATGAGGCACTGTGTATCAACATAGGAGTTAAAACATGTCATATTATTAACATGAAAGATGAATTAAAACTATGGCAACTGTCACAAATAAGGATTAGTTGCAAAACAATGTCAGTGTAAGCTTTTAATTTTATTAAATAAACAGTCACTAGGTGGGTAGAAAGAGACGAGGTAACATATGAAATCAAAAACAATAAACTCAAAACCTTACAGATAGAAACAGGCAGATACAAGGGCTGCTTACGCAGCAAGATGAAACAGAAGGACAAGATAATTAGAAGATGGAGCTACAGAAAAAACTAAGTTGACTTTGATAGACACACTATTCCAGAGCACTGTCTCAGGGGGATCTTGTGACAACAAACATTAATTAACACATGAATTCCTGATGAATTTAGACACTGAAGAAAGCCTTTATTGCCTTCATCTTCATTTATTAGTACATGCGTTAGTAATTTAATCTTGTGGTTAATATATGACTTATTCATTTGTTCCTGATTAATGACTCATTACTTTCTGATTAGTTATTCATTAGTAAATGCTTTAATTACTGGCAGATCATGTACCACGTTCCTTCATCATACTCCCTGTTCCTTTAGTCCACCTAAAGGATTTTTTAGCATTGAAAGGTATACAGATTGTCGAAAAGACAGCCGAACTGGGTTTAATTCCTGGCTGGGCGACCAGGGTCCTTTCTGTGTGGAGTTTGCATGTTCTCCCCGTGTCTGCGTGGGTTTCCTCCCACAGTCCAAAGACATACACTCAGGCCAAATAGACACGCTAAATTGCCCCTAGGTGTGAATATGTGTGTGGATGTATATGTCTGTCTGTCTGTTCACCCTGCAATGGACTGGCGACCTGTCCAGGGTCTATCCTGCCTTCAGCCCAATGACCGCTGGGATAGGCCTTCAGCACCCCCTGTAACCCAGAAGGATAAGTGGTTTAGAAAATGTGTGTGTGTGTGTGTACGGTGACGTTTATTTATTTATTTATTTATTTTTTTGAGAAAATATAAAGTATCTGTTTAGTGTTTGCTCTAAGTGGTGGTTGTATTTGACAGCATGCTTAATGGTTTGTAGCATAGGGCCTTAGTCATGCTTAGGGTGTGTACACATTTGCTTAGTGGATTTGTGATTCTGAACTGGATTATTTGGTTTCGAGGTGTGCTTGCAGAGTTTTTCCTTGTTGGTGTAAGTTTGTTAAGAACAGTATATATGATACTGAGCTTTGTGTTTGAAGGACACGTGTGTAATGTTCTGAGAAATATGTAAAAACTAACAATTTTACTTCAGCTAAAGATCAAATAAATTGTTCGTATGCTGGGGGACATGGATTAAGCCTATAGTACCTTTTAGTACCTTTTTCTGTTTTTGAATGCAAACTGTGACTGGAAAATGTTATAATTCAGTTCTACTTTATTTGCAACTAAATACAGCTGGAAAGGAAAAATCTGAATTCACTCTAAAGGAAATAAAAGAGGTATGTGAGTACTGGGTGGTCTTCTCTTAACAAAATCTCCACTCTCCTCATCTATCATAAGGTAGAATCAGACTTTTCTGTTATGGGTATATGGTCTAGTTGTTTCTGCAATGACACAGCAATCCAAATAGATCTTGGTCATCTACCCAGAAAGGCACAAATAGATCTAATCTGCCCTGTTACTGCCATTCTGTTTAGCACATGCAATATCAGTACTTTATATACGATTTTGAGTAGTTTTATAGAGGGAAATGCATTAAATAGGACTACCTTTTATATTCAAGCAAAAAGGTAAAAAATATGACAGCACTAAGACAATTTCACATCTTGAATATTTTTGCTTTGCCTTTTATTTGTAACACAGGCATAAATTGTAGGGTGTAATGGGCCCATCTGTCAGAATGCAGATATTGCTTAGTGTACATTTAGAATGCAAAATGTCACACACAGCATACAAAACAGACAACACAAAATAGACAGAATCTTGTTTTTAGAGCTAGTAGACCTAGACCTTCCCTGTACAAAAAGGGAAGCTCAATTCAGCGCTGCCTTGTAATAATGTAATTATGTCCTTACATTACTGTGTGCAATAATATTGAACACCTCAACTGAAGTCAGGTAGACATTCTATTTCATTGTCTGTGCTGTTCTTTTACCACTGCTAAATGAAGTGAAGAGAATGCTCCAGAATGTGACAAGAATGCTCCAGCAAACCAAAACTGACACCATCAAGGACATGGAGTGAGAGCCAAAATGTGCAACCAAATGGACAACAAATGAACACTTTCCCTATTTGGCTAGATTATTAATGTATTGAGATATTTGTGGCATAGATGTCTAAACAAGTCCATTTATATAAAAACTATAATCTTTAGACAGGTACAGTAAAGATCACCCTTCATACTGCTTTCTACGTTCAGAAATGCTGTGTGCAATGTCATGGACAAGCAGAGTTTTGGACACAATTGCACATTGATTGCTCATATTACTGCCCAACTAAACTGCCCTCTCACACAAAAAGGGCAAGTCTGTGCAGTCATCTGTGAGGCTGTGTATCATGTTTCCTATTTTAAAAACATTACTGTCAAACACATCCAATTCCATCAAAGACAAATGTTTATATACCCATATCATGGAGGGCAAAAGGGACGTTGCTGGAAATGTTAATGACCAGTACATTGGCATCTCCTCTATACTCCTGACATCTCAAACAAAAGAATTTGGTCCAGTTTGATAAATGGCTGTCTGGGCAACTAGTGATTCTTCTGACCTAAAGGGAACAGTAAAACTGAATAAAAATACTCAGAGGATTTTCATGCTAGATTGCTCCCCCTTTAGCATATCAGCTTCCGAAAAGTGCTTAAGAACATAGCAGTTGCCATAGCATTAACCTTGATGTGTGCACATCATTAGTCCCGTGCTCACTGGAAGGGTCCTGAGCCAAAGCTCTTGTCCAACTGTGAGCACTGCTGTTCAAGCTGATCCAGTAACTTGTCCACAGAGTCCTCCTTGTTTTCTAGTTTGAGATACCTCCTGGTATATCCAAGATCGAGTCGAGGCCAACTGCGATGCTTCTGCTCCTCCATGTGTGCAAGGTCAAGGGTCACTGTGCCAACCCTTGTCATATTCACACAAATGTTTGAGCTGGACTGTCGCTGAAGCTCTCTGGGGTTATCTGTAGATTGCTCAGCCCTGTCCTCAAGGATCAGAGCTGTAGGCAGTGAGTGTGGTTTAGTCCTGTAGTTCACACTGTGTGAGCGTCTGGGGGGAAGAATGCTTAACTCCCAGTCCTCCCCCTCCAGAGTGGACATAGAGCTTGCAGTCAGGCAGATGCTAAGCTTGCAGTGGATTTCTGGCTGTGGCTGCTGGCCACAGCTGACACCCTGTTCTGCATCAGTAATGGTGTTGAAGTCCACTTTGCTGGAGTTGCAGGAATTGGAAGAATGTATAGAGGGGGTGGAGGAAGACTCTTGGTGATGAAGGACCTCAGTGCGCAGAATTGCTCTCTGCTGCGAACCTCCTTCCTCTTCTGTGATTTTGACCTGCAGCAGTGGTTCAGAGGAGGCCAGCTCCTGAAGGCATAGGATGTTCAGATGGGCTGTAGGCAAGCTGCTGACCCACTGGTAGTGCCTGGCCAGGGTGTTGACCTGTGTGAAGTCCGCTGTAGGCACAGCAGTGGACACGGAACAGATAACGCTCCGCATCTGAGCCAGAAGCATCTGAGTCTCCCTGTCTCGGTTCTCAAACAGTACTGTATTAGCACAAATGAGAATGAAGAGACCCACTCCCATAATCACAGGACCAAGGAGTTTCATCCTCTCACTGTGGATCAGGCTGGCTGTGGAGAACAGCCCTTTAGCTCCCAGTCCCCATCCAGATGCCTGAGAGGTGCCAGGGAGACTGTCACTGACAGCGCCCAGTGCTGACCGCTGCACTCGGTATGGCCAGTACCCTGCCACTGCCAGTGCTGTGCCAACAATCACAACCACCATGCCAAGCACCAAGAATGCCCCTGGGATGGAGCGAATGCGCAGTTTGCCCTGGATTACGCCCTCCTTCTTTTTTCGTGAGCACAGACTGAAGTGTGGCAGGCGCTGATGGGAAGGCACAGAAGGAGTTTGGCCTTGAGTCTTCTGAGTTCTCATGTTTCCAGCGCCTCCCTCTTAAGGCCACACCTTAATGGGAGTCTGCAGAGAAGAGGGCAAAAAGGCTACATGTTAAAACAGAGATTAAAAAGTGGCTTTGAGCCCACATCCAATTGTGCATTCAGGTAAAGTGTTATTTTCAACTTCCTTGCTGGCTTATATTTGAAAGCCTTTGGAAACCCATGTTGGCTTATGTTTGGAAGCCTCCATATAATGTTACCTTGTGATTAAACTGTAGTCAAATAGATATTCTGCTGATGCCTGTTTTTGGCCATAGTTGATTAGGGATGTACCAAGACCCTATGAGGCCCCTGAGTACAATCATCAGACACACATAGATAGAAACACACACATTATAAAATGCTCAATAAAGGTTGTAATAGCAATACTCGATAAGAAACACCTGTAGCTAACTTATCATAAAGGTTATAAGACTTATATACCATGTAAAGAATTAAAATATTCAAATGAAACTCAACAACAATACAATTTCGAACAGCAATAACAAGGATCCACAATATCGAAGTCACTAGCTGGATGGATCCTTCTTTCATTTAGCCATTATTACAAACAGTACTTGCTGACAAGAACACGATTTAAAATTTATATTTACAATAAATTGTCCCTGTCCTTACAGCCTGAAGCCCCTGTGCACAGTCCCCACTGGCTTGACCCATAATCTATCCCAGCTGCTGAGCATAATCAGACTGCCTGTCATAGTAGTTTCATATTAATATACCATTTGCTGGGATTACATACATAATTTAAGAGATTCAGTCATCTTGAATTTTGTACTTTTTTCATTACCAATGATGTTTAACATGGCAAAGAATAAAACAAAAGCCAGATAAACACTTCAACATCTGGTTGCCATTATTGACAAGCACATGTAAAGGCAAACAGCATGTACCAAGATGGAATACAACTTCATTAACTTTTTACTGCAATCAAGATTTAATGTGTGCACGTTTTCCCCTCTACTTACCTAATAGAGAACATAACATTCATTAAAGGACATCAGAAGAAGAAATGTGTAAAAACTTTTATGTTATACATGAGTTATGCATGATTAGCCACATTGTGCTCTATGATTCTGAGAACATTTTAAAACACTAAAAATGAATGTCATAGCTGAACTAAACTAAAATTCTTTATAGTTGAGTAAAGCTTTCTGTCATGATTCTGTAAATCTTTATTAATTTAACGCATTACAAATTTCAGCTCTCTCCAAAGATTTTCAAAGGGGTCGAGATCAGGACTCATTGCTGGCCACATTAAAAGAGTCCACTTCTTCCTCTGACCCATGATCTTCAACCCACACCTAGCTTCCTTACAGTAGGTAGCACATTTCCCTCTAAAAATGCATTTGTAATCTTTCGATTTCATTATTCTATCAATTCGGTTGAGCCCTCCAGCAGCTGAAGCAGCAAAGCAGTTCCACAACATTATGGATCCACCACCATGTTTGACGGAAGATAATGTGTTCTTTTGCTTTTCAGCATAACATTGCTAATGTTATTGCTAACATTGCATAAATTGCTGGTATGCATTGCCAAAGAGCTCTATTTTTGTTTTGTCCACAAAATATTTGCCCAAAAGGACTGTAGTTTGTCTAGGTGTGTTTTGTCAAAGATCAGTCGTGCCTTATTATGTCTTTCTTTCAGCAATGGAGGCCTTCTTTGGCCTTTGCCTATGAAGTCCTTTTTGTTTTAGTGTGTTTTGATTTATAGGTTGAAACCATCACACCAGATTGCTCCAGGTCTGCCTTTAGCTCTTTATATGTTACATGTGGTGTTTTTTCCACACCAACCTTTGAAGACTTTTCTCCCAGATTTTCCTCTTTCCTACTCCTCCACATCTTAGAAGGTTCTTGATAGCTTCATGAACAATAAACTTCTTAAATACATTACGCGCTGTTGAAAGAGGGATGTCAATGACTTTAGAGATGGCCTTGTACCCTTTACCATTCATGTGTTTGGAGATAATAGTACTTCTGGTGCTCTCAGACAACTCAGAACAGGATCAGAGATAACAAAATGGCTTTTTAAAGCATTAAAGCCATTGTTCATTTGTTAATTCAAGTCATGTTATAAATGGAATCCATTAAAAGGGTGCCAATAAGTGTGCCGTGTCCATATTTCTGTTTTTATGCATTTGTATACACACACACACACACACACACACAAAAGTATATATGGACAAAAGTATTGGGACACCTAAACATTACACCTACAAGAGCTTTTATGACATCCCATCCTAAATTCATAGACATTAATATGGAGTCATGCTGGGACAGAAAAGGGCCTTCCCCAAACTGTTCCCACAAAGTTGGAAGCATACAACTGTCCAAAATGTCTTGGTATATTGAAACATTAAGACTTCCCTTCCCTGGAACTAAGCACCCTAAGCCAACCCCAACCTCATAGCATTATCCCTCCTCCACCAAATTTTGCAGTTGGCACAATGCAGTCAGGCAGGTGACGGTCTCCTGGCATTTGCCAAACCCAGACTCGTCCATCAGACTGCCAGATAGACCAGCATGATTCATCCCTCCACAGAATATGTTTCCACTGCTCCAGTCCAGTGGCAGCAATCTTTATACCACTCCATCTGCCTTCTTGGCATCGTACATTGTGATGTAAGGCTTGCATGCAGCTGCTCCATGCCATGAAGGCCCTGGTACACAGTTTTTGTGCTGATGTTAATGCCAGAGGAGGTTTGGAACTCTGCACTTACTAAGCCAGCAGAGCGTTGGCAACTTTTATGCACTAAGCACCTCAGCACTTGATGACCCTGCTCTGTAAGTTTACGTGATCTCCCACTTCGTGGCTGAGTTGCTGTGGTTAATAAACACTTTCACTTTTCAATTATATTATTTACAGTTGATCGTGGAATAACTAGGAGTGAAGAAATTTCATGAGCTGATGTGTTGCAACAGTGCCACCCTAATACAATACCACGCTCAAATTCAGTGAGGTCTTTAGAATGACCCATTCTTTCACAAATGTTTGTAAAGACAGACTGCATGGCTAGGAGCTTGATTATATATACACATGTGGCAATGGGAGTGATTGTAACATCTGAAATCAATGAGAAACACATGGTCTGTAACTTTAGGCCTGGTCTAAAAAACGGAGCTGTTAGGACATCCAGGACATCCACCAAGTCAGTACTTTGGTATAAACCAGCACACAACACTAACAGAACAGATGAGAAATGCTCTGAACTAACAAAGGTACCACAGCCAGTGTCTCTTGGGAACTCTGAGAATGCTATTTAAGATCCACCCGACTAAGTCTGGTTTATTCAAACTTAAGGGACATACTTTGGATTTTCTGCCAGAGTCATTTTTTTTTTTTAAAATATGAGATACAACGGCCAGGATATAACAATCACTAAGTAACTGTTCTGTGAAAGCGTGTAGGTAAACATCGAGATTGATGATAGACTTGATACTTATCTGAACGCACGGATCTGCTGCAATGGCCCTGCAGCTAAAAAGAAACGGATTCTAAACATAAAGCCACTGCAAAACATTCAAAGTTTTTAAATCTTCTAACCCACTGAGAATATTGAACATTTCGCAATGTGTCGATTTGACATGGTCGAACGACTGATCAATCTCTCATTTTCAGTTTAATGACTGTACAACTTAAGTCCAAAAATTAAAATTAAACACAGGGGACATAATTCATAACGACAGATCAGTCATCAGCAATTCCTAAAGCGTGGCGACAGATCACTTATTTAGTTAAATTATTCTTGATACCTCAAACGCTGACCCACGGAGAGGAACCGCCTGTGCACTCATGGCTGCGATTTACTGTCGACGAACGACAAAATTCCGTAAAATATTCTATTAGGATCACATGGAGCATATTTTCTCCCTATTTTACTGAGCGAGATTAACAAGATATTTGATTATTTGCAGTCGTCGTCCTACGTATGTTCTGTGACGCTGTGACGTCCTGTCAAATCACTTTTCTTGCAGCTAGCTTAAGGGGGATACATGTACATGCCTTACATGAATCACGCATTATCAAACTAAGAAGATGTATTTCAGTTTCCTGTGTTTGGGGAGAGGGGGGTGAGTGATGCAGATGAGTCTCACATGTCCTAATGCGTTCATCATGTTGCGCACTGCGAATCAATATCAAATACCTAACAGTGTTGATCTAACACATTCATTATTTCACCGACCTTTCATACACTGTGAAAACTGAGGTTAATTGCAGTTACCAATTTATTACAGGCAGCAGAAAGTTGCCATCTGGTAAAATCATTCGAACATATTTCTAACGTAGGCTGTGTAGGCATTTGGAGGCGTAGAAACAGAACAAGAATCAGATTACACAGATTATCAAAGCTAAAAATAAAACCATTTGAAGCTAAACCTAAACTTGGGCAAAATTCTAAGCCACGCTAATGAAAGTCACTGACCTTATGTAAGGTCAAATCTTGATAAAGTAGGCTGTCAAAGCCCGATAAACATCACACTAAAGGTATTCCATGTCCAACAACAGGAAAAATATCACCGAAACCACGTTCAACGATGCTTCTCTGATTTCTTTTGTTTAATTCTGCAAAGTTACTTGCCTTGACTACGCTGTATATCGTCTGCGTTCATTGTCTCCACATACGCTCGATGTATCCCACTCAGTATTGAGAGGGCCACACATACGAAGAGCCTGTCTTACCCGCTCCGCATTTGGAAGTTTCGCAGATGACAATAAATCCAGAAATGTGTGAGGATTGCTAGCGCAGAGACGTCCAAGAACCGCGCCTCGCATGCTACTAGGGCACCCGTTGACCAAGAAAAGAAAGAAACAGAGTGTAAAACTTAATGAAGAACGTTTAAACGAGCACAGTCCCCATTGCGAATCATAGAGGTCCACACAAAAACCACGGTGGTAGCGGTCGAGCAAAATCCCAATTACTCTCCCTTGGCTATAACAGCAGCACACACGGCGCCTCCCTCTACCTCGACTTTTCTCTCACACTCCGACCGTGTAAGTGTGGGCAACGCTGAAACTGCATGATATGCACTGCATATTACACAGTCCTCAACTGTTTAAGCGTGTAGGGCATGAGGCAACATCTCTTCGGTTAGACGAGATATCCGTTGACTGCTGGTTCTACAAATGAATCCACACCATTTGATCATCCGCCGTTCTTTACCAGCACTATTCCTATAAGAAGTGTGCCCACACCAATAATCCAAGATTTGATAGAGCATGCACATGGCAAATACACCAAAGACAGAGGAAACGAAACTCACAAGAGTTGCAACACATAAAACAGTAGTTGAAAACACAAACAGTGAATATATCTATAGGCATTCTCCAATAAATCAACCATCTGTTTGACGCCCGTCTATTCCCGTTAGAGATGGTTTAATTCCGCTTCTTATTTGGTTTGGCGACATCTTACGGAACAGTACGGCAACTGTGGAAGAGTAAACGAGAGTTACGCCTTAAAAATGACTTTGTAATCGACTTTCTGCAGCAACATATCACTCTTGAATCTATTTACAACATACACAAAGCCCTTTAAATGAAATGATCAGATATACGTTGTTATTACGCAAGCCTTTTTATTTCATGTCTTAAACGAAAATGGTTAAAGAAGGACAAAATGACAGACAAAATTAAGTACAATAAACACCACTCTACATACCAGCAAAAAAAATGTTCCTATTGTGCACAGTACAAAGATTATGACGTATTAATCTCACACATTAGTTTCTCCATGTTTTCAAAGCTCTTAAGACAGCAATGACTATATTCTACAGACACTTCTCAAAAGACGGCACTACTCAAAGGTGTACAGCAGTGACGAATACAAATAGATATTAAGAAATGAAATCAATAAGCAAATGAAGCGCAAACACATGGCACAAGTGTTCTTATCTATCTACTGCAGTATTTATAAAAATACAAAGGGGCAGACAAAAGAGGTTGGTGAGGTAAATTACGAAATGCAAAACAGTACTCAGGCTCATGATCGAGAGCGTGAGCGTGATGGGGATCTTGAGCTTGAACAGGATCTAGAGCGGGACTCGGAGTGTGCTGCTGAAGCAGAGCGACTGCTGCCCTTAGCTGGGGTGTGTGACTGGGACTTGGAGTGGGATTTGGATTTGTCCCAGGCTTTGGAAGCAGAGGGAGACTGGGATCTGGAGTGAGAACGCGATCTGGAATGCAAGGTCCTTTCTGCTGTTCCATCATCACCCCTCTTCACAGCTTCATGACTCTTTAAGACAGACTTTTTGGAGCCATCTCTGTTGCTGCCCATTTTGGAGCAAGACCTGGAACAGGACCTGGATCGAGAGCGTGACTCTTTGTGGCTCCTCTTGCTCTCCTGTTTGCCCTTTTTTCTCTTAAAGCTACGACTCCTGCTGCGACTCCTGGCCTCGTCACGGCATCCTTGCATCTCCCGAATAGCATGATCTTCATTGCTACGCTCCTCTTCCTCCCTCTTTTTCCTATTCGGATTCTTCTTGCTTAAAGATCTGCTCCGGGACCGGGAGACTGCAGGCCTGAGAACAACAAAAATTAAATGGTCATAACATGACATTTTAAACATGGAGACATTAATACACACAAGTTACCAGTTTATCTGTCCCTACATTCAATGGCCATTTTTCAAGTACACATGCTACAAGGTGCACTTTGTATGTATACAATTACTGATGATTCATCAGACACTTTGCATCCTCTCTCATCAAGAAATATTTAGGTGGTTGACCATTCTAAGCTGGTGGTCATTTATTGGTTCCTTTCTACCAGTTGATGCAGCAGAGAATGGCAAGTTCTGCACAGATGGGCCACAGTCAGTAATTATAAATCTATATGGTAGGTTTAACTAATAAACTCAGTCTTTCGACATTTCCATGGACTGTGCAACAGAGCCATTTGTGCTGGAATTTGAAAGTTCCTTATCTTTAAGTGGACATACCTCATACCTTTTTCTTAACCACATAAATTCATATTTGGTATCACTTCTATGTTTCTCACTCACAACCAAAATTTGTGGAAAGTAAAATGACCCATTTTACAAGTCTGCCACAAATTAACAAATGGAGGTGTTCATGGAGTGTTACCTGGAATAGGAGCGACTTCTGCTGGGGCTACGGCTGCGGCTCTTGCGGGACCTCCTATTCCTCGAAGGAGACCTGAGACATATTTATTATCAGGAGTTATAATTAAAATTTAATTAAAATTTTGAAATTGATCAGCAGTTAAGCAGTCAACAATGCTAAAAACTACAACAATGACACGGTATGAAATAATTTTCCAGGACTTTTTCAGGACATAAATATAGGTAGACTGACTGATTTCATTCACATATGCTAGTCTTAAAAGACACTGCTAAGCTTTGAGTCCCCATATATACATCTATCACAGCAATACAGGCAGAACTGGTAAATTTAAAACACAAAGCCCCATCGTAATGAAAGCTAATTAACCAGCAAACCAACAAAATTACTGAGAATTCTGGGAATTTCAACAATACATTATTGAAGACTTTCATTCTGCGTTCTTGCGTCATTCTTCAGTTGCAACCTGATGCCAAAAATTATGATAGTGAGCCAATAAAACAAAGTATTCAGCAGATCATGAACCAATGGTGTTCCTCATAGGCAGAGTCTGAGGCCGAGCTGGACATGTACTGCCCTTTGTACTTGTAAACAAAAAAAGTATGTATTTATAATCATAAAGATTTTAAAAAACGGATACGTATTTAGTGAAAACTGATACGTAAAAATGTATTTAGACACCCCGAATATTAGTACGTTATGGGATTTTGGCCCATTCCTATCAGCAAACTTTCTTCGACTCCCCCAAAATTACAAGGGTCCCTGTATTGGATTTACAATTGCTCCTACCACACAAGGTGCTCCCACCTCTACACCGTGGGTGTGGTGTTCTTGGGATCATACAGGCAACCCTTCTTTCTCGAAACACGACAAACTAAATGCCAAATTCAATTTTTATTTCATGTTTGCAATGCACTTCAATGTTTATCGCTTTCTGTGTAACTGTTGCTCTTGCTGCTTTTAGGTCATCCTGCACTCTTTTCAAATGACCGCTGTCTTCTCTATTACCCTTCTTATTATTTGTGAGAAATCTTGCATGGTGCACTTGTTTAGGGATGATTTGTTCCATGAACTTTTCAACTTCACATTATCAAACCAACTGTACTGGCAGGGATATTTAAAGACTGCTACTCCTCTGTAGGCTTTTCCATTCGAGTTTTGTTTAATAAATGTTGTCTCTGAAAACTTTAGGGATCTCTTCCACCTTCACCATAATTGCTACTTGTTGAATGAAACCTTCTAAAGAAATGGCAACATGTTTTATAAAAACAGCAATGGCAATTTTGCACCAGAACATTTTTCATTTTATTTTCACAGCTTTCATATACAGAACATGGCATTTTTATGTATAACCTTTAAATATATGTATATTTTAAAATATGGTCTGAAAACTTTGTTTTACTTTATTTATCTCTGTTTTAAAATATTTTGTTTATGCTTGTGAACACACTTTTAAAGTACTTATTAGTAGTTTAAAAGTACAAATTTAAAAGATGTCAATTGTAAATTTAAGGTGGATAAATACACTGGAAGTACAGTACAGTAAATAACAAAAAAAAATGTCTGAATACTTATTTCCTGTCACTGTCTGTGATATTGAGAGCAAGCTGAACATCTTACCTTGAGTAATTGTATACTGTGATTAACTGTGTACTGAATTAACTGTATATTTATATTCTCTCATTGTAAAAGCATCTTTTATAGATATCCAGAAGTCCAAAACAGTATAAGCGTTATAATCATGTTCTCATTTTTTTTTACATGGGAGACATGGTTGAATCTGGCAGGAATGAACATGTGTTTTTTAAAATGATACCTTCAATAAGACGAGGCCATTTAAGAGGCTTACTAATTATCAGGGATGCTTCGATACCATGCTCTTTTACACCTACTCATAAAAAAAATAAAAAATAAAAATAAAAAAAATAAAAAAAATCATCGATGTCAACATTCCGATACTAGCTGATACTATGTGACGTAGGCACTGCTGCACTAATGAACCAATGAAGCAAGCTGGCAGTGAACAATGGTCTGCTCACACAGAAAAGTGTTACCGATACCATGCTGGTCAGAAACAAAGCCACTGGTCACATTAAACATTCTACCTTGGCAAATTCTTGCCAGGAATACACTGTGCAATGTTAGCCCATTTTAAACACAATCACAACTGCTTCCCTGATATGGGTGGAGACACGTAAGGTCAGCTAAAGAGAGGCAAAAAAGAATATTGCTACCAAAGTCTGTATACATCGACTTTACTCTGTTTGAGTGAGTAGAATAGTGGGGTTTAAAGGTTGTTTTTTTTTTTAACTGTGTTTGCAAAAAAGGCTGAAGAGACCGCAAAAATAGCATGGACAGAGTTTTATAAATTGTAGGCTTTATCCATACACAGCAGATTATTCAAATGTACAGTGCAACTCACCAACAAACAAGACTTCTAAAATTGCAGTGTATGTCTAACTTTAGGGGACAAACAGCTACAGCTCAACTAGCCAAACAAATGACATAAGACATAAAACTCCACAAGAAAGCTCCTCAGGCATGATTCCTGCCATCAATGTGCTACAGAGACTGATGTTCAAAGAACCTAATCAGTGCTCAAAGCTATGAGTGTACTTTACTTACAGCTGTACAAAAGCGCTTTTCTGACGTGGAAGAAAAGACGCTCTTCTCCACTGCAGCGCTACGTGATCCAAGGTAATTAATGCAGTTAGCACAACTAGCTAATGCAGTTCATTTAAAATCAGCTTGATTTTAATGATTTAACTGTTAAGGTACATTGTACTCATTTACACTAACTACGTAGCTCTAAGAAGGGTACTCAATATGGTTTAGGACTCTGTATCGGCACGTACTAAAAAATCTGTACTCAAACTCAGTCTGAAAAACATGGTATCGATGCATCCCTACTAATTATAGTTATCTTGGTTTTAATTATGTTCATTGGCTTGTTGAAATGATACTGTAGCTTTTATTCTACAACAGGTCTGAATTAACATCAGACTGTTTTAGACTGCTGACATTGTGTAATATATATTTTAATGACAGAACTTATCTGCCAAAAGATCTCTACCTGGAGCGGCTGCAGCTGCGTGAATATGAGCGTCTACGTCTGGCACTGGGGCGGTCCTCAATCAGACGGATCTTTCTGCCATTCACCTCAGTGCCATCCAGTTTCTCCAGTGCCCTCTTCATGTCTGAGTACAGCCTAAACTCAATCACTCCTTCATTTCTGCGACCCTTATTAGTGTCTGCATATGTCACCTCACCAGCCTGCCG